TGTTCTGCTGGAGGACCCTGTCATTCAGGCTTTCCTGATGAACCTCACTGTTCTCATCAGAGGACCTCATTGTCACTGAGGACGGTGGTGTTTCATCTTTTCTTTTCTTTTTGTGGCAGAACCGGGGATTGAACTCAGGTCCTTGTGCTTGCCAGGGAAGCACTTATTCTACTGAGCCATCTCCCCGGCCCTGGTGTGTTTCACTTTGGAGGAGCTCTGGTCCTCACTTTAAGCATCACTTCCAAGCTCCAGAGAGGAAGATGGTGCACTGCTCAGCTCCTGGAGAAGCTTGTCTCATTGGCTTTCCTGATGGAAAATCGGATTTCCTCATCAATGGAGGAGCTCTGGATCTCACTGTCGCTGAGGATGGCTGTGGTACTTTTGAGGGAGCTCTGGTGCTTACCTTCTGCATCACTTCCTTACCCAGTGCTGATTCCCTAGCCTGCTGGCACAGAGCCTTCATCCTGCTGGCACAGACTTTTTAGCTCCTACCACTGACATTTGGGTCTTTCCATGAAACACTATTGTGGGCTCTAGGCCTCCAACTGGGCTCATGTGAGGCATTGTTATGAGCTCTAGGTTTTCAGCTAGATTCATGCAGGATTTTAGGATCCAGACCCTCAGCTGGATTCTTTGGTTTTTAGTTTGTGGCCAGGTCTCCTGCACTCAATGGATCTGGTTCTTCAGATGATTCCTATAAAATAATCTTATAAAGTATATCCTATATTGTATCATTTCCCTTGCAAAAACCCCAAACAATGACACAAACCAAAAGGAAAATATACTATTCCTGTATGAAAAAGTCCTCACTGACAGAAAAGAACCTGATAAGGATGAGTATGAACCCAAGAAAGCCACCACATTAGCAGATACCCACCAAAAGAACCTCCAAGAAGTTATGTGTCCATCAACAGATGAATGAAGGGTTCTGCTCTGCCATAATGAAGGATAAACTTTAATCATTTGTGGGAAAATAAATGCACCACCTTGAAACTACAATTTGAAGTGAAATAAATCAGACTTACAGCTTAAACATAATTTCTCGTATGAGAAATTCAAAATATGAATAAGTTAGAGAGTAAAATAACAGATAACAGGAAACAGGAAGATACGACTTTGACAAAGAGTCGGTGAGAGGGGGATGGAGACAGGGCAGAAGAGGGGAAGGGGGTAGAAGAATCAGATAAGATGTGCTATGTGCCCACACCAACCCCCTCATGATGAATATAACCATTATGTACTGCTACATGCACTAATAAGATAAAACTTTTTAAAAAGAATCAGCAATGGGTCAATGAAATAAATTCCCAACTAGCATGAGTTTTCCCTCCTAACCTTCAACAAAGAAAATCAGATGAAACGTAGTTTGACTATAGTTCTCCAACTAAATTTTCAGTCATGTTGCAGGGGCACTACTGAGCATCTGAAAAGCTTTAGGTAAATACACCAATATTCACTACTGGACGCTATATGAGCTACCAGTTAGAAATGTTTATCAGTTTCAACGTTAGATCCTTCTGAGAATATTATATCTTTGTAAGGCAGGTTCAGCAGTTCCTGTCACAATAAGGACTTGAGCCTGGTATGGCAGCACATGCACATTATGCTACCATTTGGGGAGGCTGAATGTCTCAAGCTACTCTTCTCTTGTTGCTAGGACAAAATACCCAACACCCAAAATGAAGGAAGGAAAGGTTTGTTTAGCTTAGTGGAGGTTTTCGTCCATATTCAGCTGGTTCCAAGGCAGAGCGGCACATGGCAGACAGCAACTGTTAATGGTGGCAGCAAAATGCAAAGAGAAAAAGAGCAAAATGAGTGGCAGCAGCTCAGGCAGCTAGCTAGCCTCTCTCCTCTGCTTACACTGTAATGCAGAGTATCTGTCCTAGGGTACTCATACCCACAATCCCATCACTGGATCAAGAATCAATCACAAACTCCAGAAGCTGCCCCATGACTGCATGAGGCTTTGGGGGGACAACTAGATACAAACCATAACACAGAGGAAGGAGATTCACAGTTGGATCCCAACTTGGGAAGCTCAGTGAGACCTCATCTCACCATTAACAAAAGGACAAAAAAAAGGGCTGGTGATGTAGCTCAGTGTGAAGACTCTGGGTTCAATTCTCAGCACTGCAAAAAAGCAGACAAACCAAAGAGGGATTCTCAGAATACATGGTAGCAAAGAAAATGAGACAGTAAGTAGAAGGCTATGAAAAAGAAAATCTAAGTCAACTGGAAATATGGACTTTTTATGTTTGTGAATGTCTGGGTTAGACAGACCAAAAGAAGGTGATGAAGAAAGGGGCTTCTGAGTACAGACCACATCTCCTTACACTGAAACACAGGACAGATAAAGGAAAACATATGTCACTACATCAGGCTTAATTTCAAATTAACTTGGTCCTTTAGTAACTAAAAGTGGCTAGAAAGTGTTAGCATCTGATTGAGAACTGTCATAAACAAGTAAAACAAATTCAGTAGTATGCAATGGAATTGAGGATAAAAAAATTATACTTCCATCTACCTGTTATGAAACCCCAATTACAATAAGGATATTAAACTATATTTGACGTTTTCTGTAGCATTCTTTAACCACAGGGAACAGTGGTGAATACAAAAGTCAATCTCTTTATATTTTTATTCAATTGAAGAGATATTTACACAACATCTACACTATGTCGAACATTATTTTTTTAAACATTAGGAAAACATGAGGCTGCAAGGTGATCTGGATGTGGTATCTTTCATACCAGTGATCACCAGAGCCCAGGATATTTATTGTTCTTGTCTCACAGATCCTAGTTCAAGGGTATAAATGTGGCTATGCTCCCCGGTCAAACCTCCAAATAAGCCCTGGAAGAACACAAGTGAAAATCTGTAAAACATAGTGTTCAAATGCCATGCCTCTTCCAATTCAGCTTACCACACTATTATGTGTCTGTTTTATTTTTTCAAAGCAGGACTCATTTATGTTTTACTGTATCTCTAGCGTTAGACTCTGAGCACCAAGAAGGCAAAAATTGTTTTTCCTCTGTTTTTCAATTTCTCAGCTTTGGCATGCCCACATCAATAAGGGCTTCCTGTCTCTCTCTCTACAGTATCTCTTATTCATTGGTTAGATACACTATATGTGAGATATATAATTATATATAATTGTTAACCAGTGGTCAACTTGTTACACCCAGCTGAATTGAACTAGCCTGGTACTGGGTGTGGGAGGTTCATCTCTTGGGCTGTTATGCTGGAGGACCTCATTATTCTGGTTTTCTCGATGAACTTGGCTGTTGTTTTGAGAGGAGCTCAGGAACTCATTGTTGCTGAAAATGGCTACAGTTCACCTTCGGGGCACTCTGCTCCTCATCTTGAGCATCACTTCCTGGATCCAGAGAGGAAGATAGTGCACTGCTCCGCCTTGTGCAGATGCTTGTTGCATTGGCTTTCCTGATGTGAACCCAACTTTCCTCATCACTGGAGGAGCTCAGGACCTTACTGTCACTGAGAATGGCGGTGGTACCTTTTGGGGGAGCTCTGATTACTACCTTGAACATTGCTTCCTGGCTCCAGTTCAGATCCCTCAGCACACTAGTACAGCTCCTTCACCCTGCTAGTAGAGATTATATAGCTTCCACCAATCCTTTGGGCCTCTTCCAGCACCGATCTATGAAGTGGGCCTGCATGAGACATCATCGTGGGCTCTAGGCCTCCAACTGGACTTGTAGGAGCATTGTTATGAGCTCTAGGTCTTCAGCTGGACTCACGCAGGATATTAAGATCCAGGCCCTCAGCTGGATTTTTTGGTCTCTAGCATGTAGACAGACTTCCTGTTCTCTTTGTATATGATCCTTTGGGTGATTCGTTATAAAATAATCTTACAAAAACTAATCCTGTATTTATTGTTTCCCCTTGCAAAAAACCCCAAACCACAACAATATATATGCATACATCCAGAATGCTACTTATACATTCAACTGATTCAACTGCTACTTGAAACAGGGATGTTAAACATATACTTTAAACTTAATGCATCAATCATAGCTGACCAGCTATGCTTTAGTCTGTTTTATGCTCAGTCAATGGAATCATCATCTACTAATTGATGGTGGATAGTTTGGTCCTCAAGCCAAAATCCCAGAATTTATCCTTGATTACTGTCACTTTTAAATTCTACTTTCACAACATTTCAAGTCCAGCACCTTTTCATCATGTCTACGTTTATCAAACTACTTCAGGCAGTTGTTTTGCTTTGTGGACCTTGCACAATAACCCAACTGGTTTTCCTGCTCTTTCCTCCCCTTCCTCTTCCTTTCTTTCTTTCCTTGTATTTAGTCCAGGGTTTGCAGGGTCTCACGATGTAGACCCAGATTTGTAGTGATTCTCGTGTTTCCAGTCCCCCAAATGCTAGGGATTACAGGCGCGCGCCACCACGCCCGGCCTCCCTCTCCCAGCCGCCCAGCCGCCCTCTCAGCTGCTGCGCGCCGCCTAAGCACGCACTGCGTCCCGCTGAACTACCAGGCCGGCCCTCTACTTTACTTTTTACGCTGAAATCAAACAGAAATACTGACACATAAAGTTTAATCAATGTAATTCCAACGAGGCCGGGGAGATGGCTCAGTAGAACAAGTGCTCCCTGGCAAAGCGCAAGGGCCTGAGTTCAATCCCCGGTTGGGGGGGGGGGGCCGGGAGAGGGGGCGGGGAAGAAGAACCCACAAAACTTGGCAGGAGCTACCAGGCTGTGGCACGTCTCCTGACGCAAAGAACCAAAGCCGTCTCTACCTGGGCTCCTTGACTGTGCGTCCCTTCCCACAGAGCTAAAGAACACTTACTTCTTCCCTACACCCAGCCCGCCTGTGGCTCTTCTACTGCCTGTTGAGTAGCCTCACGGAGCTGCGCATGTGGGCCGGATCCGCGACTCTCCCGCCTCAGCCTCAGGCGACCTCCGGCGTCCCGAGCGCCCGCCCGCAGAGCGCCTCCGCCAGGTCTGCCCACTTCTGCCAGGTCTGCCCACTTCCGCCAGGCGCGATTTTGGCGTCCAGGGCGGGCGCGCACATGCGCAGTAGTGAGCGCCTCCAGCGGCTAAGGTTCCTCGGTCCCTTTTCTCTCAACTTTCACTTAATCCTCGCGTCTCTCTCAATCAGTTTGATTTCAGTACTCTAGCCAGTGACCTGGAATGTAAGTCACTCCCTTAACCAGCCGCCGCGCTCCGCCTTCCGTCTGAGGAGGCTCCGCCCAGCAGCGCCATCCTCTCGCGAGGCCTCGCCTCTCGCGGTACTTCCGCGCTCCCAGCACCCTCCGCGCGAGGCGACGCTCTCTCGTCAGCTCGGCCTCGGGGCGCGCCCTGCACCCTGCCCAAGCTTCTGTCCCAGGTCGGTCGCTCAGTGTCCACGGAACATGACGGCTCCCGAGCCGCCGCTGCTGCTGTCCAGAGGGTGCCCGAGCTCCACCGCGCTTTCCCCGCCGCGAGGAGACCGAACCCTACTGGTCCGGCACCTGCCGGCCGAGCTGAGCGCCGAGGAGAAGGAGGACCTGCTCAAGTACTTCGGGGCGCAGGCGGTGCGCGTCCTGTCGGACCAGGGGCGGCTGGTGAGGGCGCGGGGGCGCGGTGGG